ACTGAAAGTTTTTTTTATTTTTTAAAATCAAGAAGTATGACATACTACAAAAGACTGTGAAACATGGGGTTTTTACAATGCATCATGAGAAGTTTATTTTCACTTGGAAGATATAAAGAAAAACACATAAACCAAGGAAATTAAAGAAGGACTCAATGATGAGTAACAATAAACAAGGAAATATGGTGGCCAAGATAACTCATGTTACATTAACAATCTCTTTGAAAGAAGATTTAGGAGGGATGTCCATATGATTAAATACAATTGACAATGGTTGGAGGATATCCAGAATTACCTTTGTTTCTGATGTGGTGAGATAAAGGAGAGACCGGAGGAATGATTATAGTTAAGGCATATTGTTGACAGGGACAAAATCCTTAATAGACCATAGGTATTAGTTATAAGTATATTTTTTTAATTGTTAATTTAGGGAATTTGACTTTTTTTAAATTTATTTAAAATAATTTCTCTGATATTACAACTGAATTTTTCAACGATTGCACCACTTCTTTTTTTTTTTTCTCATTTGCAAACGATACATATAGTGAAAATAGTATAACACACATAATCAGGTATTTAGTCCCAAACTGATCCTCATGTAATGATTTAATGTGAACATTTATTGGCATTTAATGTTGCAGTTTCTCATTATACTTTTGTGGTAGGTAGGTATGTATAATCAGATTACATTTTTAATTTATTTTTATGGATAAATCATCATTTGTTTTTGCGTAGTATGTATTTTACTAATGTATCTATTTTTATTCCAACAAAAAAAAAACAGTTAAAAAACAATATTTTTCTATATATATTTAATAGAAATTTTGTCTTCCAACCCTAAACTATTACTTACATTTACTGATGGTGATACATGTCAATAAGTTTATTTATAAGTAGGTAATCATCTGACAATAGCATTTTGTCATGATTTTCAAATATTTTCCAACAGGCAAATATTTTGTATTTAGAAATATGAAACTGATTAAATTTAAAATATGTTTATTTTTAATTATTTGTTTTGTATTTTTTAATCAATTTATTAAATTTTATGAAAAAAAATCCTTGAAGCAATCTATTCATCAAACTAATTAGGTTTATCATTTGGAAAAATCTGGTGTTAGCAAGTGTTTTCATTGATTAGGGTTTTGCTATGTTTATGTAAAAATGTTAATTCATAAACAGCTCTGAATTTTACTGTTTCCATTTTTAGGATGAGTATGTTCTTTTCTCAAATTCAAGCTATAAATTTAATTTTAAAGCGTAATTATGAAATTTCATTTTTATATTTCTGCAATTGGTTCTGCTTATTAGTTTTTAATTATTTATTTGATATAGTGTTTGGTTTGTTTTTAGAACATAATAAATCCCATATGAATCAGCTAATCACTTTTAATTTCAAAAATGTTCAAAACTATTACTATTTTCCATAACTTATTTACATTGAGTACAATTAATATTCTTAACTTTCAAATAATTTAAGGAAGTTCTATGATGATAAATAAGTTATATTTTCAATGATTGAAAGTAACTTATTCAGTTTATATCGTACTTACACCATTTATGAAAAAAAAAAAAAAAAAATAAGTTATAATAGTGAAGTGTTTAATTTATTTTTAAAATAATCATATTCCAAATTTCTCGGCAACAAATTTATTTTGAAATTAATACAAAACATTTTTAAGTATTTCATTTTTTGTTTAATTTATTTTAATATGATGTTCAGCTTAACACTGAATGAATTACAGCTCAGAATTTGAATTTAACTATACTAAAGTGCAAATGCATAGAATGAATGTTTAGCTTTTCTAGAAAAATAATATTTGTTAACGAAATTTCCCTTTTCTCAATGACCAATACAAGGTGTATGTATGAAAGCTGAATGTACCTATAATTTGAATGTTGGGAAATTCGTGGTATGGGCATTCAAAATCTGAGACACCCGAACTGGGATTATACCAACGCCCTGCCTATGTTTTCCAGCTTCGAGTAATCAGAGCATTCAAGTCAACGCTAGAAGACCTGGAAGAGCGCAGATCAGTTCATAGTTTACACAGTTTGCGCAGCTCTCGCAGTCACACAGGCCCTCGACCTCTCTCAGATATCACCTATATTGATGAGGATCCTGTGAAAACACCATCACCACATAATAATTCATTTAATTATCCACGACTGAATCATTCAACTTTAGCTCCTCCCACTGAACCTTATCGTTTCTCCTCGTCCAATAGTCTTATTCCTGATATTAGCAAAATTCCACATGAGACGAGTATATAACTTTTACAGAAACTAAGTTCATTGGATGAAGTCCGTATTTTGCTATGGACCCACTTGATCAATCTGTTATGTGTAAGATATTTTGCATTGAAATCAAAGGCTCTCTCTGGATTATATAAGGTGCATTCTCATACAAGACTTATTTCTTCCATTACGAACTGCCTTCTATACTTCATAGACATTCCTTTATTACTTCCTGTATTTGACTTAGTTTATTGCGATTTATAGATTATTGATGGTATTTTTTTTTTAAATAAATAAATAAAAAAAAAAAACAAGTAATGTTAATACTTAAAACTGCATAGCTTACTTAAAACAGGCAATAATTACAATCTAAGTTTGAATGTTTAGATATGGAACAGAAAGATATATTGTTATAAATACAGTAGATTTATAAATAAATAAAGATAAAGATATGATCAATAATACTATTATTGACTCATTGATGTATGCATATGCACATAGGTTTTATTTTGAATAAGATCGGAAGTACTTGTAGGTTTCTTGGATTACCGGTGAGGCTTGAGTTATGGAATATTGAGTTGAGTGAGATAATGTGGATATTAAAAGCTCTTATTTGTGCATATGCATACCCACACAGATATTCGGTGTGTGATAGAGAGAATTTTCTTATTAATGTGTTCTCTGCTCCATATTATGGATCCAATTAAAAAGAAAAAGATAATGTATTTTAAAACTTTTAACCTAATATAAATCATATACGAACATTTTTAAGAGATAATAGCTTTTTATTTTTAAATTTAAGAAAACTGTCTTTAAATGTGAATATAATAATGTATTTTTCTTTTATTATAACTTTTTTGTGTGTTCTAATGAAGTATTGACGTTATTACTGGTATCGTAATGTACAAACATTTTGTTATAATTTAATTTAGTTTTATTTTGTTTTGGTGTTTCTAATAAAACAAAATGTTAAATCCATAAATCCATAAAATACAAATGTTTACTGTTTTTCTTTGACCACTCTCCTATGTATACATTTTTTAGTTTATATTTAAACATTCACATGGATATTAAAACATTTGGTTTAAATTAAGTGTGAATGTTTTTAATATATTCTAGATAGTGTATATGAATTAATAATTTGTCAGCAAAAATCCCACTTATATTTTCTGACCTAACATTGATTTATGATTAAATATTATCAGTATTGACTTTGGTTATAGTTACCAATCATATTTTTAAGATTGTTTTGTTCTTTCAATATTTATTGTTCATTGAATGTAACTAATACAAATTTTTATCAAACAGAATATTCTTTCTTACAAATATAAAATGTACACTTTTCTACACTCATGTATGCATCCTTAGATTACACACGCAGGCATAGAAGCACACCTGAACTTAAAGTCACACAGACACATATATATTTTATGTCTGTGCGTGAGTGTGTATGTGCTTTTGTGCCTGAGTATGTGAATAAGTGAATGCATTAGAATTCATGTAAATTTATATCCCTATGTCATTCTGCTAATGCAATCTGAAATCATCATTTGTATTGGAAATAGACAGTTCTATTGCTTGAAAATTAAAAAAAAAAAAGATAATTGTATATTAACTATTTCATGCTTTTTAATTTTTTTTTTTTTTTCATGGCTCTTCAGATCTAAACTATCATTATTATATCAAAAAGATCTTTGCTAAATAATTACATTTGTTATTTATTTTTATTTAAGATACAATAAATGTTTTAAACAATAAAAAAATTAATATGTCAGGCCCATTCATGATTATTTTTAAGGATATTTATATTATAGTATTATTGAAATGATGTAAAGAGTATATTCTTTCAGTGGTCTGTTTTTGATAAATATCTATTTCATTTGTTATTATGATTTTCATATTTAAACAAATGTATTCGATTAGGATTTAAAGTTAAGGCATTTCCACTCAGAAGTACATATTTGTTAAAAATTAATAAAAATTGATTTTTTTTATAGGTTTTTGATTAACCTATCATTACTTCATTAAATTTTCAGATTGCAACAGCTTTATTTTATCTTTTGAAGATAAAGAAACTTCAAAATACATAATTTCAAGGGAGTGAAAGAGGGGCTGCAACAATTGCAATATCCAATACCTTTTTTATTTAGATGAATGTTGTCTTGTTATGGATTACTGATCTTTCGTGACAGCTTTACCTCCATTTTCCTTCTCCTTGTTGTATTCTATCTTTCTGCCTTTCTCTACTTTAAAACTTCTTTAAATATTTTTAAGGTTTTATTTATTTATTTTTTTTATCATGCATTGCCACCTAAGCTACCTTTTAAAAGTAAAAATATTGTATTTGTGTACTGTGTAGAACTATTAACACATCAATTGCCACAGAAATGCGTCTATATTCACATATTGTTTAATTCCGTGCTGCTCACATATGTAGCATATTCTTGTCTCCATTTTATGCCTCTTTACTTTCTTAATGTTGTTTTATAATGTTTTCACTTACAGCATCACAGTCTATTATGACACAGTTAGTGTAAATGCTTATACAGGATGCTTGCTAGAATTTATTCAGAAATATGTAAATAACAAATGTATTAGCAGGCCAATAAAATTACAGTTTCTTACTGTATAGGCAATTTCACAATTAAAACTATTACTTGGTTATGTAGTAAAGCACCCTATTCTCCCTTTTTCTTTTTTTTTTATGTTCTCATCATTTATGTTCAATCTTCTCACTGCTGTATTGGCCTTTACTCTTGAAGGTGATAGGTGGTGAATTGCAAGAGCGTTTGATTCCAGTTCCCTACAGCAAGAGCTCCACTGACCAAGCTGTAAGACACTTTCCTACAAACTACTGTCCGCTCGTTCGCAGATTGTAATTGCTACTGCTATTGCTGTTCTTATAGTATTTCTATTGTTAACTATGCATGCTGCCTTCAATGTCATCTAATTCTTCCTCAAGCGAATGCAAAGTTTTTCAATTTAGAAATGTCATTAATAATGACCACATCGTTTATTTATTATCAATAATAATTAAGTAATGTGTAAGCTTTTGAAAATTGCCAGTAAGCCAAATAGAAACATTTTGCGAATTCCATTATTTGAGATTTTTTTTGTGTGTGTTTTCTTTTCTTTTTGCTCAGCTAGTGATTTATATTTGTGTGAATTGTGCTTTTATGAAATTTTACTTGACTTTTCTATTTTTTTTTTTTTAATTTTATTGATATTATTTTATATATATATATATATATATATATATATATATATATATATATATAATTTTATTTTTCTGCATGATACAGGTTTCACTGAATTTACTAATAACTATTTTTACTCGATATTTGAAAATACAAACAGATCTATAGTACACTTTAAACATTTTTAAGAGTTGAAATAAATGTGAAGACAGGTAAACAATAATGAGCATATATGCTATCTTCTTCATTTTATTTTTAACTATTCTCATGGTATTTAAGTATTGAATGTCTGCCATATTTTTATATTGATTATTTTATACATTCTATTTACTGATTTTTTTTTTTTCATCTTGTTTATACATAATTCAGTCATACATACAGATTTCCAGATTTTTTTTTTATCGAAACAGAAAGTTTTTGAAATTGTATGCACACCAGAGCATTCCAATGTCCATATATTTCAGCATGATGACAGAGAAGTGTATCACAGTTTATGAAGAAAAATATGTTTGTATGTGTTTTTGAATGCTCTGTTTGTACTGTCTTGAATTTTTTTTTTAGTTTATTTTTTTTTTAATACTTGAAATATAATGGGTTTCTTTTGTTCAAGGTAGGTGGATTTTATGGTAATGCATGCTTCATTTTTTCTGAAGAAGATAAGTGATTTTGCTGCAATTCTTTCATCTGATGTGTTTTGTTTCTTCTTTTAGTACCTGCATTCTTAATTTTATTTTGGTAGTTTTCAACTGTTATCCTGCCATTTGTGCCCAAAGGCTTTTTGATTTTTAACATATTTCATCCTTTTCATCCCTTTCTAGTGTTGCAGTGGCTCCTCTTTCCCTGCCTTACCAAAATTATATTAAATACCAAAATTAACTTATCCTTTTATGCATACATATTGATCAATGTATGTATTTCGCATGTGTGTTTATAAGATATAAACCATTATTCACACATGCCTAATTAATATTCCAGACTTGAAGGTAACTATAAAAATATACTGAAATGTAATTTGTCTCTGACAATAAAATTGAATTAAATTTGCATGAAATGGGATAAATATTTGACAAAATTTTTCTCTTTAAAGAAACACTGCTATACTATTAATAATAGAAAAATAACATGTATTTTGGCATTTAATGCCTTCTGGGTTTGCTATTTTGCATTTAAATGACTGTATGTATTGTTTTATATCTGGCAATGCTAAAGCTGCATGATGCAGCAAGCTCTGCGTGTATTTTAAATTTATTGTACTCTACACAATAATTTTTTTTGTGTGTGTGTGTTGATGTAATAATTTATTTGCCTATATGTGTGGCTGTTTTTGTGTTTCTGTACACACATATTGGCAAATATACACATATTCTTTGCTTGACTGCTGCGTTTTTCTATGCAATTGATTGTTTTATTTATATTTTTTATTAATTAGTGGTTATTAAAGTAGTGTGAGAGATAATAAAATATAATGCTGCATTAATTGTTTAGCGATATTACTTATATTTTTATGCTGAATTAGTTCTAAAATTATATTTTTAATGAAAAATTATTTGTTTTGTTAAACAGATGCTTTTTGCATTTTTCACATCTATGCATATAATAATTATGCAATTTAATTCAAGCTTTATTACACTATATTTTAAAACAATAGGCACTTTAATTTAAAATATTAATTTTAATATTGTAGTGCACTCAGATCACTGTTTAAGCTCATTAGATAAAAAGGAAAAAAAAAAAATCAAAGTATAGATTAAAGTATATATTTTTTTAATGCAAGTAAAATTTAATTTAAAAATTATAATAGTTATCAGATAGTAAATTTCGACATTGTTATTGTATATAATGTTGATTTCAGATGCAGTGCACAATCAGGGGAGCCGTCCTCTCAGAGCACAAATTCTTATAATTATTAGTGCTAATTGGGGTTAAAGTGGATTTATTATCAAATCATCTGTGTGTGTGAGTGTGGTCATTTGTGTAGCAAAGAATTTCATGGTTTTTCTATAGAATGTAGAAATGCCAGGATTGAGTTTGCTTAAGAGATTGCACGCTTAAATTGTTTCAAGTATTTTATAAATTGGTCCAGATTATTTAAAATCTTAGGTTTCACTTTTGTGCATATACTAAACTGCACATTTTAAAGTAAAAGATCGTTCAATGGTTTAAATTAAATTGTTGTATGGTCTTCCATCTATTATAGAGGGCTAAATTCCTTGATTATTTATTGGCTTTCAACTTCACATTCTTTAGAAATGTCTTTGTGATATTAATATTTTCCTTTCTAGGATAATGAAGTTTCTAAATTATCTTTTCATCTTTTTTTTTTATTTATATAATTATTTGCACCAAAAGACTTGCTTAACTGAGTTTATTTATATATTTTTTTGAACTGTGTTAATGTTAATATTGAGGTTTTGTGCATTGGAGTTTATGGGTATTTATTTTATTAATCTGTACAGTTGCATAAAAAGTCATATAAGTGTATTAATGTTTAGTGTACATGGTAATTAATTCGTTTGATTGAATATAAAAATATTAATATTGAAAAGACAAAGCTGGAAAATATTTAATATCCTTGATGATATTTACATAATTTTTTAAGGGAATTTTATATTCAATAATTCACTTGTATTTTTTTAAAATATGTATGTGTCATGGAAATGATTAGTATTATAAGATTTGTATTATAGAAAGATATTTTATATGTTCTCAATTATATCTTATGCACTTGTTATTTTCAAGAAAATATAGCAATATGATATCATGTCATTAAAAAATTGGTTGTATTGTTGACATTATCATTTAATTATGAAATGTCATTTAAATCCAATACATTCTTTAATATTTGCATTTTTGTTTTAAATTATCATATATTTTCTTTGGTAAGGAATGTGCTACATGTTATGATAGACAAAGTATTATAATTTTTATTTTTTTCTAGTTTCTATGATTTTATTTTTACCCTCGCCATATTTTAACCTATATAAATGATCCTGCATTCACTTTACCAATTATGATTAAACATTATTTTATTGTAAATTATAATATGATTAATATCAACTATTCTTCATATTTTCTCAGTAAAATAATAATGTTCTGTTTTTAATGTTTATATAGTATATGAAAATTTTGTTTAAATGATGGATTAAAAGTTGTTAAATTGTAGATAAACCATTTTAGAATGATAAATTGTTTAAAAGAAATAATAAGTTGAAGAAGAGGGAGAATGATACAGAGTTGGATTGCTGTATGTTTTATATTATCATCATACTTGATAAATAATGTTAATTTATTTATATATTGTTGTGATTCAGTTGTATATATGTGATTTGATGCACTCATATGGATCACATGTGCACACGTTCATGTGAGCTTAAAGATGTATTTTTCACATATATCCATCAAATTTGGTTCATTGATTTTATGTATCACATAATATGAGTAAACAGTCAAAGCAGTTTAACCAACTAAAATATTTTCTATGTATATGATTACCAGGATCATCATTTAATATCAATTAATCTGTATTTTTCTTGTGTATAAAATATTTTCAGGATAGTAAAATTAGAGGTGTATTATTTTGTAAACTGAGCTCTTTAAGACAAAATTCTTACACTTATTTGAAGTAAGCGATTGTATTACTCATTGATTATTTTGTGGTGCTATTTTACCAGAAAGTCAAATACCAATCTAAGAGACGGAAATAATTTACAGGCATCAAATGATACAAATGAAGAGAAAGTAATGTTTTTTTTTTATCTCTTTTTTTTAGGTTTTTGCATATTTCACTAATTTTACAAACATTTGTCATCATAAAAATTTATTTTTGTTTCAAGTAGCATATTGCTATTATTTATAGATTTATATAAATTTAGTTAGTATGACTTAGATTGTATTGAATGAATTTTTTTCCTTTATTATACATTAATAACTAATTTATGAAATATGGCACATTGACACCTAAGGCTGTTGTAACTTGCCCTTAGTCTAAAGCAGCCAAATGTAAACTTTTATAATGCACAGTTTATGATAAATTCTGTACTTATACTTTACTAATCACTATTTATTTTAATTTTGAATTGTTATTAGTTTTTTCTACTTTTTTTTTATTTTTTTATTTGTTTCCTATTCTCTCAGAGAAACATTATGAATGTGTGTGAGTTTTACATTGCTCATGTTTGCAAATTGATAGTCAGTATATATGTTTGCTGATCAATTAAATATGCTTGTGTGTATCAAAGGAGTATACTGAAACCCTTCTCTACCACTTGCTGGCTTACTCATTGATATGTTTACATTTGTGAGTAGGTAATTGATTAATCTGTACACATATATATATCGACTCTCTTGTATTCATGTGTAAATAATACTCATACTCATAGGCACTCATATACAGACCAACATACACATCAATAAAATATCAATTTTAATGGCAATCAATAGTGTATCTTTAAGAAAAAGATTAATATAAAAAGACTAAATTATTTTTTAAATAAATTGAAAACCAAATATTTTGGCCTTTTGAGTACCATATATATATATACTTCTTTTTTTTTTCATCTTCCTTTTTTTTTATTTTTTTTTTTGTGTGTTATATTAGGTTATGTTCATAACCGTTTTCTTGGTTGGTTTTTGTTTAATAATGTATTTATTACAGCCGTTTTAAATTTTATGTTGTTTTCTTAGTTTGTATACCATAGTTTCGGAACTTCAACTAGGAATTGAACATGGAAATTTATAATGAACTTTAGCGCTAACTTTTGAGTATTGCAGAATTTTGTGGCGGATACATGGCCTTCTGCGCATCATCTTGTAACATTAAATGAAAGCAAAGTGGCCCCATCGTAAGCACTGCATGAGACCACTATCACTATCGCGCTAACGCCCTGCTTTTATTTTGTGAGTATAATATCCACTGTATTATGTTGGGCTTAAATTGTGCTTTTCTCTGTGCTGATTTTTTTTCTATTGTTTATTTTACGTGACATCTAGTATTCATATCAGCAGTGCAAAATTGTTACTTTTTTAATTTGATTTAAACTATATTTTTTTAACCGGTGTGCTGTTGAATGATCATTTATCTTTAAATCAAAAACGGTATCAATATTATCTAATGGACGAAAAATACTCAGTAATAGTAATTAATTTTTTGATAGTATTTTTATGCAACATTTTTTCAAATTAGCCATTTTTATTTATTTATTTTTTTTACAAATCTTGAAGAACAAGCTACTATGAATGAAGGTCCCTTGATATATTTTATCGTTATAAATTTTATTTTGATATCCATTAAGCATGTTATTTCATATGTGTCTGCTCTTTGCTTAATTATAAGTGTTTTTATATCAGTGTATATGTGCATGGGTGTGCACACATAAATAATGAATTACAAATATTTTTTCTAAATACACATTTTCAAAAATAAAAAAAAAGCTACCACAGCATTAAGTGTCAATATACCAATTTGCTTTTAAAGAAGTTATTATATGCATGGATATTTGATGTTTTTATGTTATAATATAGAGGATAAATTTCTTCTGTTCAATTTTGGCTTGTCATTTCTTTTATTTTATTTCATAAGTTCTATGTTGGTCATGTTTTTTTTTAAATTTATTTATTTTTTTTTTTTTTATGAATGATTGTCAGGGGCATAACCAAAGCTTTGTACTGATAAGTAATCAGATATCTTAAGTGAGGAAACAAAAAGCTAAAACTTAGTTATATTCTTGAAAATTTATTAAAATATTTGCATTTACATTGTTGGTTATGTTCCTTTGAATGTATGTCCTTTAATTCTTTATTGTATAGTGAAGTATGTTCCTGAAAAGTCAGAAGACTAGGCAAGGAACTAATATGCTTGTATGTTTATTTCATATTTTTGTATTATTATTCCTCAGTTTGTAATAAGGTAGCAGTAAAACTTAATTATAAATATGCACTTTATATTATTCAGAATTAAGGTAGATTTTAATTTTCTTCATCTGTGTGACAGAAGTGTTACAAAAAATTATTGCACTATTTGTGTGATTAAAAATACAAATCATCGAACAGTAATCTTTTGGCACGCACATCTCATGAGATAAAAGTGCATGACATCTTCATTCATAATCACAGAATGCTTTGACATTATGTGTTACTTTGATGTATTTATATCTAAAGATGAGTAATGTAAATTTTTATGTATGTGTGTGTATGTCTCCATATTTATATATGTATATATATATAAACATTTATTTATATATACATATGTAAGATTACAGCACCTGCATGATCTCGAAATGTATATGAGCACTACATTTTTATTTATTGATGGTAAATGTTTTAGAAGGTGCATTGTTTTGTTTTATGTATTATGTTAAATTATGACAAATATTGTTTGATTTTTTTCCATGTGCAAGAATTTTTATTTGTATGTAATGAAAAAGTCTTCTACTTCTGGTTGAAATAATAGTAATAATATTTATATATTAATCTGAAGTTTAAAATCATTTTAGAATTAAGGTAAAGCTGCATTTGAAACATCCTACTTAATAGTTATTTTTCTCTTCTTTTTTAATCTTTTTTTTTCACAATTATTATTTTATTTACAATTATCATTGCAATTTTCTATACATCTATAATTTATGATAAACTTGATTTCATCAAAAAATTCATGCACATGGTTCATAATTTAAACTTTATTTCCTATTTTGATTTAAATTTGTTTTAATTGTTTTGCAAACATAATTTTGAATGAATTGATTTTCAGATATGTTGTAAACATAACTTCATTGTAATTAATTTTAAAATTTAAATAATTTATAATTATTTTGTAATTAAATCTTGTACTATTGACTTTCAAAGTATAATATAAAATATATCACAAAAAAGTAATTGTAATTTAAATTTTAAAGCAGCTATTTAATACATATCCGTTGCTATGGTTATGGGTAATTAAATGACCGTGATATTCCCATTTAAACGTTTTCCATGTTAATGTTAATATATGTATCGGATTTCTTTTCAGGAAAAGTCTTTATATAAACTATAGGCAGGCGATTGCAATGAAAGATGTCAGTAATGATCAGTAAGGCTACATCATTTTTACTGAAGCCTGTGAGTACGCTATTAAATTATTAGTAACAGTATTTTGTTTTTAATTAATAACTTAAGTAATTTTATAAATTTGATGATCTAAAATAATGTCTCAAGTTTTAGGGAAAAATATTGAAGAGATTGTATATACTTGCATTGTTGAAATAATTGTTGTAAACTAAGTCTTAAAGTTTAAGAATATGATCTATTCTAGTTTGTTTTATTTTTGTGTTTTTATTAAATGTATAGAAAATTGTTGAAATTGAATATAAGTATGATATTGTATATAGATGTTATTCTTATACTCATAGTCTAGTCTTAACCTCTTAACTGCTTTAGTGGCTGTTTGTTTAATGTTCTATCAATGAAATATACAGTAGGCTTTCACAAATTAATTCATATATTAGTTGTATATTTTAATAGAAAATAAATGCTATTAAGATTATATGCATTTGTTAATATTGTTAATTGTCAGAATTTATTATTTGTTAATATCTAATTCTGGAACTTTGTATAGTTGTTATAGCAGAATTCCTTAACACACATACATACACTCACACAGACACAGACACAGACACACACTGAAGTTTATTATCAAAGTAGCATTAGAATCAGAAAGGTGCTAAGATAGGGAGTAACAGGGAAACAGAGGGAGAGAAAGAGAGATTGAAAGTAAGGTGAGAGGAGAAGAGTGAGTGTGAGAAAGGAGAATAATGACTGGGAGAGGAAACAAATATTTTTGCAGGTTATTTTCTGTTTCTTAATTATTTCCTTTAGTTTTGAATTGAAAATTGAAGCATTTAATTTTAAAAACTAATTTGTGTACATTTACCTATTATCTATGAATATTAATGTTTTATAGTAATATTGTCACCTTATGAATTCGATATCTGTAATATTCTATGTTACACTTTCTCTATTTAAATTTTGTTTTTATTTATTTATGGTACAGAAAATTTACATAAATACAATACATATTTTAAAATTTTATATATTTTTTAATTTTTAACAAATGTTATTGAAGATCAAAATTCTGAACTTTTCCACATTTGTTATTTTTATTAATCTCTTATAGCAAGGTGGTATGTATTGTTCAATTTACACCACTGATGTGTATATAAAATGTGTTTGGGTGTTCTTTCATGTGTGTTATGGGATGTTATCATGTTTGGGGATAACATTTATCTATTTAGATGAATATACATTATATTTAAATGCCTAATTTAAAATAATAAAACAGAAAAAATATCTTACTTAGCTGGATGGAAATGTTAATGGTCACAAAACCTTCAGTTTATTTGTAAATCAAATGCTTGATATCCAGATGTATATACTAATATTAACTGTTTATTAGGTTATTTTGTATGTTTTAGCACAGTGTTTCTATTTGTGAATTGTTACTTTTATTTCAAATAATTTGAAATGAGATAATGTTTTTATTTATTTACTTTTTTATTTGATTTTCTTTTAACTAAATATGCATATAAAATAACATTTACACACTTGCGCTTGTCATTTACAGTGCCCTTAATTATTATTGTATTATCTCTCCTCTCCCTAGTTATATTTTATTTTTTAATTTAATTTCTTTATAAATGCCTTGTTACTTATTCTCTTATTTAAAATAAGGAAATCCCTTCAAGAATATAATTGATTATTTAGTTATATTAAATTTATTTATTGCATCATATGAGAAGATCAAGAGGCTTAATTATTATTTATAATTACTTTTATGAACTGCTAGTGTTATATTAATTAATACCTTACAATAGGCATAAAATATGTAAATAGCCCTTTAGGAAGCATTAGTTTTTTTCAGTTAAATAAAAAAGAAAAACTACAAAAACAAATAGCAAAGGTTATTCTTTTTAACGTTCACACACACAGGTTTCCTGAGGACTATATTTTCTAAATTCTGATGGATGGCCCCTCTCAAAGTAATATTTTATTATATTGGTGATTATTATTGCAAGATGTAACTGCAGCAGCTCATATGCATGCAGCAGTTGTGCTTCTGTGCATTGGGCATGCAGTGAAAATGGAAAATGATGGGTATGTTTAAGCATGTTTCTCATGCCCAGTTATTAAAATCTCATTGGCCTCCTTTTCTTCATTGTATTTGGTTTCAGATTCGAGTAGTAAATGCTTTTCGCCAAGGTCTTGATGCAAGGTATGGGGAATCGTTCGCAGAGGTGCTCAGAAAGCAGACTGCTTTGAATAAACGTCTCTCCCAAACCTCTTCCATTGAATATGCTGATAATGTTAATGATGAGTTGATGATTCCTGAGATAGACGTTGAGAGATTATCATCGCACAGTCACACAGAGACAGCAGTCTAGTCACGTATTTATAACATCACTTAAAAACACTGTTGCCTAAAAAATTAATTAAAATAAATGAAAAAAAAAAACAGGTCCTAATCACCCGTTGTTGTTTGTTCAAGGGTAAAAGGCTCTGCGCATGTAATTATTGTACATTTTATAGTCAATAACTAATATGTTGATTTAGCAAAAAGTATTTTAGTTAATTAGTAAGCTAAATTAAGTAGTAATGTCTAAACAATGCTGCCTCTATTTATATTGATTAAAATAAAGAATGCCTGAAGGCCTTCATTCTTTCATCTTACTGATCATTCTCTCTGTTTTAAGTATTACTATGATAGGTAAAAGACAATGACATTTCTGAACATTTATAAAATAGCTGAATTTGGTACATTACACATTTAACATAAAATGATTATTAATTTTTATCATGTTTAAGGATTTTAAAGTATGTTAACTATAGGGAGAATGAAAAGTATGTTTATTATAAATTTTATTCTTAAAAGTATTCTTGGATTAATTAAGATTGCTTGTATTTACATATAGATTTATTAAGTCTTTTTCTGCACATACATTTGGCAATGTATGTAAAAGTGAAAACATTAGTGTGAATCTATACCAAACTTTAAATGAACATTTTTTATTTAATAATGTGTAAATAATGTTTTAGATTTTAAAACATTATGTACATAAAACATGTTGAATGTGTCAAATTGTTTTCTAAAATAAAATTTTTAGAAATCGCTACTAAAATTAGTTGGCAATAAATTTTGATAATAGGTTGTTATAAACTCATTTTTGAGGCATTTAAATGTACATTTGAAAAAAAAAATTAAATTAAAAGGAAGATAAAGTCTGCCATTTTGTTCTGACCTTAACGACGTTGTTCCACAAGAATAAAAATGTATATATTAAAGTAAAAACACCTAGTTAAGTATTATTTTTCAAGTTTCTTAAAGACATTGATGAATAAACTTCATCATTCCTGAGTCATTGTTAAAAATATCAGCTTAATACACCAATGGTTTTATGAAACGGATCATTTAAATTATTCTTGTGGTTGTTGTAATGGGGAACATAGTGTCTTAGGTAATATAAGAAAAACTATACTAGCCTCTATCTTGGAGGGACTTTCCTTATAATAATAAATATGTAATCATTATGAACTGTTTTTTCAACCATTTGTTGGGTGCTTCTATTTTGTGCCATGCGAATATTTCTGCCAAAGATTTTTGAATAGGGATGGAGGACCTATTTTGTTCTATATATCACTGGCAAAGTTTTAATAAATATTTATTCCAATTTATCAATAAGTAGTATGTGTTTGTATCATATATATACACATGTATATATGCATGTATATATATGAGAACATTCACTCATTCTTATATACACGTGCTCGTGCACATGTGTATATGAACGTACATACTTATACATCAACATAAACACACAAATACACCAACACAAACTGAAAACATACACACAGACACTACACTACACAAACACATACACAAATATACACACATGTATGTATGAATGAATTTATGTAAAATTGAGAGTGAAATTCATCTTTTTATATAAATATAGCTTGTGCCCAAAAAAGGTTCGGTCGCTCTACTAAGGATTGTGTTGTTGAATTTACTCAGCATTATGTGCCTTATGTCATTTGCTTTTATTGTTGAAATTATATTGTTTAATTAAACGAAATGGCATCTGTTCATCTATATTATACCTGTTATATAGTAATATGGACATAACAGTGATAACCAGGTAGTTACTTTGTTGACTTTTTATGTAAGTTGTAGGAAGTGACGTATATAACATAATGTAAATACACTATGTATGTAACGTGTTATTAGTTTATGACATACACGTTAAAGTTAACTGATGTTGAAGATTGTGTTCATTGAAAATTATCATAACTGTTGTTATCTGCATATGATACTATGAAAAATGCAGTATTCTTTTAACAGAATGCAAGTTTTTGTGACCATGTATAGCATAACTACTTATGTATTAAAGAACAAATAAATAAAAACATCATTTTAAGTAATTGAATGAAGACTTTTAAATGTCCTGCAATAAAATACATAAATATGTAGAAATGCATGCGCATGTGTTTGTGTATATATATATGTATGTATGTATGTATGTATGTATGTATATTACACACACACACAAACTCTCATGGAATTTAAGATGTTCTATATTAACTCATTATAAAGAAAATAATTCATATTGAGCTGAAACTGTCTATAGATAATAACCTATGATGGTATGCAGTCTGTGGAAAGTGAATTACTTTTTTGCATATTGCAGAAAATCATATATTGTTAATAATATTGTATGATGTATACATTTTGCATGTTTATATTCTATATTATATATGCATCCATATTACATACCATCATGGTAATGGCATCAACCACACAAATTAGTACCTACCTATAACCTACCTGATATAATCTTAACATCTTGTCATTTTCATTTATTATTTCAATTGATTCTAAAATTATTATTTTATTAAATGAAAAGAGGTCTGGATTACTTGTGTCTTTTCTGTATATAATTTATATATTGAATGAACTTCATGTGTCAATGATAATTGTTGAATAAATTAATTCTTTACAGTCCATTATATACTTATTTAATTGACAATTTTATGATTTCTAATATTATTTTATACTTGAAACTATGTATATTTATATAATAACAAGTTTGTGTTAATTTTTACCAAAAAGTGCACAATTTTATATTTTTCAAAAAATTACCAATTTTTTAATCGGTTTTAATTTTGAACTTGAAGTCTGTGAAATACAGGCTTATTGCCAGTATTGAGTTATAATAGTAATATTAAATTTATTTTATTAATACTTTAATTTAAATTGTGATGTTGTCAATATTATTTATTTTTTTTAAATTAAAATGTATCAATTAAACATGTCTGCATGAAATTCACATATTTTTTTAAAATGAATAAAATAATCCTGTGTTTAGGGAGTTTTATATTATTAATAAAACCAATTACACTGATAGTGAATGATTAGATAATAAGTACTGTTAATCTGAAAACTGAAATGTATGAGAACTAATTATATGTATATAGGTAGGATCTGCCAATTAAAGATCTTTAAAGGTATGTGGTATAATTCATTAAAAGATGGCCCTGGTGCACTGTATAGAATTAAGCTTGGAGTAAAGCGATGATATGTCTTCAATTGCTTGAGCTTTTATGGTTCTTTAGAGCAAAGAAATAAGGAAAGACTTTACTATAAAGCAGTGCTCTATAAACGATTGTGTGATATTTCAGTTATGACACCATTGTTGAAGTTATATAATATATAAGATTATGTCTGTTAGACATACTCTAAACGCCTTTTTTTTCTAATTTCCTTTTTTATAAGAAGGGGCAAGTTTAGGCCTAGGTCCACTGATTTTTAGCAATGGTAATTATTTATTTTGTGCCTGTGTTAATTGTAATTATTTTTATGTGATACTTTTTTTTTTTTACATAATTCAGTATATAAATATATGTGTGTGTGTGTGTGTGTATATATATATAAATACACACACACACACACACACACACGCGCATCTCTAAGATTTACATGTTTATAGATTTTATTACTATAAAATGCCTTCATATCTGTATATTATATTTGTGAAGTATAAAATATTTAATATGTCATTATAACAGATAAAATCTTTAGCATTCCTAGGATTTTAAAGAAGGCCTTTAAGGTTCGGAAAAAAAAAATTAGAAAAAAAGGGATCAGTTATATGTTATAAGAAAAAGAAAATGTAAATCTTCTTCGCCTTTGGACCATTACTGCCAGTATTTAATTTAAATATAGTATATTTTAAGAAATATTAAGACAACTGAAGTTACTTTTACAAGAATAAGAAATCATGTGATAGCATTAATAAAAGTTAAAATAATTAGCCTTTTTTGCTTTCATTTTTTTCTCAATCCTTTGATATAGGTATCAGCCAACACTTAAGCACTTTTATTATACATTCTATAAATTGCATTCTCCTTTTTAAATTTTTTGCCATGATTATTTAATAATTTTTTAATAATACTCAGAAAAATTAATTTCTTACATTTAATACTTGAGTTTGTCTTAATTTAATTGAAGCTATATTTGTGATATTGGTAATTAATTAGTGGCCTTGAGTCTAAACCTGTCCCCTTCCATTTCATCCTGACATAAACTTCAAGCTGATATAGATAATTTAAATTTTAAGTTGGACTCAAAAATTTAGAGTATATTGTTAATTTAATTATATATTGTAATATGTACAAACAAATAAATTCGAATATTGGTTAATCATGTTTATTTATTTATTTTCTCAGAATATATTTGTACCTATGTAACTCCACATTTTCATATATATTACCACATCTTCTGTTTTATTTGTCATCCAATTCATTAAATCTTTCAGGAAAAGCTAAATATATTTATAAAGCAAGTTTATTTGTTCTTCAAGAGTCTTTTGAAGATTATGTATAGTACTTTTTCTGTATGGGTTATGGAGTGTATCTGTTTTTGCTTATATCTTGGATTATTTAGATAATTTTTTTAATAAATAAGTTTTGGAGATAATATCCCTTTTTGATTGGTTTAATAGCCATATATTCCACTTCTTACCTTGTGGATTATTCATGAAGTAAATGTTATAGATTAGCTGAAAAAACCAAACATAGTGTGAAAGTAAATCATGTCTCTGATTACACTTAATGTAGTATGATATGGTAAGTAATTTTTGTGACTGATTAGCACATTTGGCAATCAACAATAATGGTGATTCAACTCGAAGTGCCTATCAAGAGATGCAAGTATTTGATCTAAAGAGGTTAAGCCTGTAAAGAGGATTACCCAACTTTCTTAAGATATTTTTCATTATCATTTGAATAACAAAAAAAGGTGATATTATCAAATCTGGTCTCAACAGGAACATAAGAAACGTCAACAGGTATGAACATTAAAAAAAATAAAAGGTTCTTTAAAGGATTCTTCTATTTGAGTTCGAAGAATTCTTCTTTAAACATTGTTATTGTTTGAGGAACCAAAATATTTCAATAAATTACTAAATATGCAGGGTTTTTTTTATGGGGTATTAATTATATTTAAAAAAAGTTAAGAACTGATATAATTTATGAAAAAAGAAGAGATCCTACTTTCGGTAGGATGATCTTGCATTTAGGATAGCTTGTTCTGGGTTAGCTACCACCAGTCGTACTTTCCTTAGAAGTGAATTTTAAATTTTAATTTAGATTTCACATTATGGGGTTCTGATAGTTTAGTTCCTTCCTGACAAGACTTCCTTCTTCATAATTTGTAGAAACTGTGCTCTCAGTCATTAAAAATAAATAGACTGATAAGAGGAATAGATCTGATTATTATGAAGGAGAATCACTATAAATAGTATCACACTTTAAAGATTGTATGGAATTTTTTGACAGTCAATATAAAAAAATGATGTACCCTTGTTAAACTCTTGTGCCAAAAATATAAATCTGAAAAATACACAGACTAATCTCTTAATTCAGAATTAATTTTTTTTAAACTTGTAATTAGTGTTATGTAATTTTATATACTTCATAAATAATATTTTAGGGTTACATAATTGGAATTAATACCTACTATATTAATCTTGTTAATAAAAATATATATCATTTTTAAATTTAAGTAAAATCTGTTATAAATATTTTGACTGCATAAAATTAGCCACTCGCAGTTGATTTATTTACTGTCCTACTTTGGAACGTAAAAAAAAAAAAAAACTTTGAACTTAAAATCTAATATTTTGCTTTCTTGTCTAATGAACTACCTAACAATTTTGGTAAACATTTAGAATTGGTATTAGCTAGTTCCAGGGCTGTGGAGAAAAACCAATGGCCCCAGAGACATTTTCTTGGACACCCAGTCAAATATTAAATTCGCCATTGAAACCGCATCCTTTCTATATAATGTATGTTACAAAGATATATAATATATGTAATGTAATAATAATAAAAACTAGTAATAAAATTAGTAGATAAAAAGTAAAACTTGGACGGGCCCCCGGGGGTGTAGTCCCAGCTGCACCTTTTTCTGGTCGGGCTTAGCTTCTTGTCATTTATCTTGTTAATAATGTAGATGAATTTAAAAAAAAATATTCTAATAACTAATTGAATGAAATAATATGAAATTTCAAGTACTACATGATATATACGAACTTGAGAAATTAATTTGAATTTTTTAGGAGGTGGGGTGACGTCTTAGCCCGAGGGGTACCGAATGTTCTAAGGTCGGCATTGGCCTAAGATTCGACCTGGGCTGTCGTTTTTGTTTACTCCGATTTTGGAAAATTCTCTTGATCCGAATCTTCCTATTTCTTCTTGGTACCGAGATATCTGGTATCTTTATTTAATATTCTTTTATATCTGACTATCTTTGTAGTTCGCCGGTTATCCTTTAAGGCATAAAGCGCCAACTGTAGGATCTTGCTTCGGTTTTGTACACTTATCACATTTGTGTTTTTCTCCACATTTCACACAATATGGTAAATGATGGTATTGTTTCGTGGTGAGGCCACTTGATTCTTGATTTCAGCGCTGATATCATTATTAGTGTTCACAATGCATCCAAGGTATTTAAAATTGTCCACTTTTTCAAAGGCATACCTCCAAACTTAACCACTTCTGGTCGTGCGAGCTGTCATTCACATGGTCACCCATATACTTAGTCTTGGATGCACTTAAGACCTGCTAATTTTCTTTGTCACGCATTCTAATGCAAGGAATGATTTTTTACTTTCCTCGGGGACCTTCCAATTATGTGGCTTATCCAATAATTTGAGCGGTTCTATTCAGGCTTTTGTCAAAAGTGTGAATGCCCGAATCTCTTACAGCTCTCTCTATCCCGATGATAAATAAAATACAATATAATTAATAAATGCAAAGTAATTATCATCTGTTCTGATGTATCCCTAATCTGTTTTAAGTGAATAATCAGAGTAATTCCTATGAAAAATGAGTAAATTCTGGGAGCCGAGGAGGAGTATGACCGTCACAACCTTACTTTTGTGCAGGACTTTTATGAAGAAACTATAAAAATTTTTAGACGAGGTATGATGATGATGCTCAGGAGCACATCGAGGTAAAAGAGGGTACAAGGAAATAATAACTGGACCCTCCGGTCTCAGATGAGTAACGACCACCAAGCTATAACTTTTAGGCTATTGGAAAATTCATTAATTTTCTACAGTATCGATAAGGTTAATATTACTGGAAGACGAATTTGGATTTCACTGCTGAAGGGGAAAATGATTGAAGGTGAATGCGGCTGAGAGAGATAGCTGAGTTTCAAAGATCACTCACTGGAGTCATCTGCTTTGAGGAAATTCTCCAGCACAGGAAGGCGAAAGTTTAACCAGTCCCATGATGGACTTCATCTTTAACTAACCATGAATCGATGAAGAAATGTGAATGCGATGGAAGATGTAGTATACTACTTTACTCCCATCATTGGATAAAGCCAGGGTTACCGAAACGAGATGTATTCGCGAAAGCGTAAGTTTTCGGACGAGTACATCGATTGAGGATTCAGCAAAGAACCCATGGGGTGCTTTGTACAGCCAGTGAGTTAGTTGATTCCTTAGTAGGTGATTGTAGCTTTGAAATGAGAAACTTTGAATAAAGGTATAAATTTTCCAACTAGAAATATCAGTAAAATTACTTTATTAAAAAAATGTTGAAGTTGGAGTTACCATTCTGTGAACTGAAAGGTTCGAATGATATATTAACAGATTCTTCTTCACCGGAGTCGTTATCGCTTTCTTTCAAGTGTGGTTCTTCTAGGATACTAAGTATTTGACGTTCCTTTTGAGATTTGTTGTTACAGAATATTGTTTGTATGTTTTAGATCAAAGCGCCACAATGGCGGATCTCTGGGGGGGGGGGGAGGGAGAAGCGTTCGGGCAGAAGTCCCTTTCCCTCCAAAATGGTAATATATAACCATTTCTTATGAAAAAAATATCTCTAAAAGTATTATGGTTCGTTTACATTTAATAGGACTTCAAGAATCACTTAAACACTATTTCATATAGGTAGTTAGGTTCTTTCTTCTTCTACCGAAGTAATAATCGTTAAATGTATTAAAAAAAAAAAAACTTTCGGTCTGAAGCTCCCTCCTCCAAAAAATTTAAATCCTGGACCCGCAAGCTGACAAGAAGGTATAACTAAAATAAGGAAACAATCTTTATTTGGACGGTGCACATTGGGCCGAGTAATGGAAAACCTGCTACATCTGCTAAAAAAAGTATATTTTTTTACATCAGTAAGTGGTGTGAATGTATTCATATATCATTATAATTATTGTCCACATGACAGATTATTATGTTTCTAATAAATAAATAAAAATTAAAAAAATATCTCTACAAACTAGATAAACTGTTCAATTGATGCCTTAGGCAGTTTTGAGAATATTGTTGGTAGAATGAACATTTTCTACTGTTTGTAGTAAATAGTTCAATTGAAAACCTAGTTAATTTGAGGAATTCCGCATGATTTGTAGGTTTTGTAAAATGGCTTGGTTCGAGCTGATGCTTGATAATTTTTTCTTGAAAATGTATACACTTTTTACTGCCGTTCTACTTAATTAAAATTTTTTTTTTTTTAATTTCTTTATTGAGTATTATAACAATCTGTCTGTTGGACATTGGTTATAGTGAGGTAGGATGACATTCACACCATATGTACAAATAAAATAAATAGAACAAAATAATAATCAAAAGTATATACAATAGACAATAAAATAAAATAACCTAAAAAATAAGAAAATTAAAACTAAGGAAAAAAAAAAAAAAAACACATGCATACCTATATACAATCAGGCGAGGGAACTCCAGGAGAACCCTGCGCTACTCTCCCAACCGCGTCACTGGTACTAAAGCCAGCGGAGATTGGTCGAGAGCACTTTAGCCACATACACACATGTCTTGAGTGAAGAATCTGGCCATTGCCAGAACTCCAATTTATATAATTACAAAAGGTCGCGAGGCCACTGCCGTTTCAACCTTCTTGGAGGATTATAGGGATGGGAGATGCTTGATAGGGATTGTGCAAGAGGATTTGGGTGGTAAGTAAGGTTCTGGTGAAATTTGGAGAATTTTTCTGGGATAAGGTCTAGGACAAATGGGATGTTAAGGTCATGATGTAGGGTTTTGTTGGATACATAGAAAGGAGCATCGACTATTGTTCGAAGGACTTTAGACTGGAAGGATTGGATGCGCTTGATGTTAGAAAATTTTGCTGATCCCCACAGTTCTAGTCCGTAAGTCCAAATAGGTTTCAGTATTGTCTTGTAGATCAGTAGCTTGTTTTCAATGGAAAGTTTAGATTTTCTGCTTAGTAGTCGGTATAGTTGGCCGTATCGTCGGTTGAGTTCTTGTCTTTTGAGTCT